ATCCAATATGTGCGACTTAGTTTTCGAATGTGTAAAAATGCTCACCTGACTGATGAGAAAATAGACAATGCATATCAATGGCTAGTCGTGAGTGGCCGACCAAAGGGAAGCCGACGAACGACTAGACATTAGTTTGAGAGCTTATAGGATGTAAAATGAGTCACAGTGAAAGACTTTTTGAGAAGGGATCAAGTGATTCGACCAATGGACTAAAACAAATATTTATCGTACCTTAAGCCTACTGACGGATCTAATCACATCTTTTCAGTAGAGGGCTCAGCGACGTTTGCGTCGCGTTACTTGTTAATATTAGCATGCAGTATAAAAGTAGGCAAGAATTCATCACGTCAACAATAATTTATATAAAATGAATTATGTGGAAGAATTTTTAATAATATTTGCTTTTTGGCTCGTTGTAGAACGCGAGCGCTCAAAGTAGTTTATTAAAATAACGAAGTTTTTTTTCGCAAGAGAAAAACAAAAAGTAAAGTTGGTAAATCCTATCCAAGGAGATTATTATCAGAACTGTAACTAACGTCTCAGAAAACCAATGAGTTAAGAGAAAATAACAAAACTATTATAGAGGCACAATAAGTGAAATATGATTGGTTATTAATATCATAAATAGACAGACACGAATTTATTAATTCATGATTCATACAGAATTAATCTAGAAATTCAATATAAATTTTTTATAGCGTGTTTAAAACAAATAATTATAAATATATATGATCATATTAGACAATGACAGAAGAATAGAAAAATATAGTTAAAAGAAAGACAAAAAAAAAGTAGAGAGGTGATTAATTAACGTTTTCTTTTTCTTTGTTTGTTTATATTCTTATAGATATAGGTTAACAAATAAAACGAAATAGAAATAAAAGAATAAATTTGTATTATTAAACAATTTAACTGTTCTATTCTTTCTAAAGTTTATTTTTCGTTCGTATTGTAAAATAATTAAAGTAGAAGAATGAATTTTTGTTCAACCATGAAGAATAAGTCGAAAAACATTGTTAATTATAAGCCACGAATTATTAATAAAACGTAAAAGAAATGTTTCAGTAAATTGCATTGGTGGATCATTATCTGCCTGAATAAAGAACATAAGAAATTATTTTTAATACAAAAATTATATTTTGGTTTACTTTAAGAGCACCGGTAACGATAATTAAAATACAATTATCGTATGTTGGTTGAATATCCATTGTTGATATTGTGTGAGCTATTGTTTGAAATGTTAGTGAACGTAATTTTTCAGCTATTTCTTGAGCACCTTTAGCAAAATCTGGACTATTAAAATTCATCATGCCATTAACAGGTTCCTGAAAAAAAAAATATATATATATTAATTGAAAAAAATGAAAGTACTTACATAGAGTGAAGCGACATTTTCTCGTGGGCCTGCATCAAATCTACCATAATAAAAATCAAGAAAAGCTTTTCCAATAGCTTTATAATCGGCCATAATTTAATGATAGTGATTCAACTCTGAAATAAAACAGAACAAATAAGACTATAACGATCAATGAAACAAAATAATGGAATACGTATATATATATTATGGACGAGTTAAAGTGTGGATTTATCTTACAAATGACATAAAAAAATTTCTTATTATTGAAAAGATATTTTTTTCATATTTATGATGAAATTTATTACGAAAAATAAATATATACAGTTGAAAGAGGCGATAGAAATATTGTTATGAACAACAATTTTTTTGATTGGTTAATCCAAATGCATCGTAATGATCAGCAGAATTCAGATTATAAAAGTCCATGATCGTTCGAAGTCCTTTTACTATTGATTTAAGAAGAGAATGTCAATTTCAATAGGACAACGATCACAATCTAGTCAACCATCATGGAATTTAACAATCGATTCAAGAATTGTCGTTGTCACGGGTTCAATGTCAATTGGTGCAGTTATAGCTCAATTCATGAATTATCTTGGTTAGTTAATCATATGATTTTATTCTTAAATGAGTATAGAAAGTGAAAATATTAAAGTTTTGTTTTTTAAAGATATGTCTGAAGATTTGTCTGATCATGCCCTATGGTGCTCAAAAGCGAATATATGGTTAACAAATACAACATGGACACTTGATCAATATGGTATACAATCTGATGCAAATCTAACATTTACAACTAAACATAAATTTATTCGTTTACAATTACCTGATTTACGTATTTTATCAATTCGTGTTGATTTTTCTGTTTCTGTTTTTGCATCAATTTGTAAACTTTGCAAAGATCTTGGTAAATAATATTTTGAATCCATTTAAATTTATTTATGTATTCAAAGGTATTCGTCATGCTGAAGAACTTTCATTTTTACGTTTACCAATTGTTTCACATCATACAAATGAATGTTATACATCACCTCGACATCGTCAACAAAATTTTTCAAATACACTTAATCGACATCATTCAATTGGAGATTCATTAGCAAATAATTCATCAACATTTTCTCCAACAACACCAAAACTTCGATCAAACAATTCAACATTCCATAAGCAACGTTCAATATCAAATCTATCAAAATCATTGAATAGTTTAACAATAAATGATCGAGATCTTGCTCGAACACCATTAATAACAACAAAACAATTTGTACCTCAATTATTACGACCAATAAATTTAATTGAAAAATGTAAATTGAATAGTTTATGGTTTGATTCATCAATATCACTTATGGAACAAAATATGCATGAGAATGATTTAATTTTATTACGTTTTAAATATTATTCATTCTATGATTTAAATCCTAAGGTAATTCAAAAAACAAACGAATTTTTTCTATTTTTATTCTAATTATTTATAGACTGATGCTATACGATTAAATCAATTATATGAACAAGCTAAATGGTCAGTTTTAACTAAAGATATTGATTGTACAGAAGAAGAAATGATGACATTTGCTGCTTTACAAGTAAAAAATAAATTTATGAATTAAATCAAAATAATTTTGTTTTTCAGCTTCAAATTCAAATTCAATCTTCATCAAAAATAATAATTAACTCTTTAAATGATGATCTTAATCATGAATATGATAATACAGATATTGATCAAGCTCTTAATCGTTTACAAAATTCTTTATTAGGAAAAACTAAAAGTCAATCAATACATTCACTAGTACAATCAAATACTCTCAAACAATCGAAAAATGATTTATGTGATTATTTACGTATATTCAAACCACGTCGATTTATTTTTAAATCATTTAAACGTTATTGGTTCGTTTTACGAAATACACAATTAAATTATTATACAGATGAATGTCAACAACATAGTACACCGATTGAAAAAATTTTACTTAAAGGTTCAGAAATTCTTCCCGATGTAAATATATCAACAAAAAAATATTCAATTCGTTTAATGATTCCATCCATTGATGGAATGAATGAAATATTAATTAAATGTTCAACAGTATATATATTAAATAAATCTATACTAAAATAAATATTTTTTGTTTTCGAAGATAAAACAATATGCAACATGGATGGCTGCATTTCGTCTTGCATCAAAAGGTCGTACTACAGATGAACCATCTTATGAAACGGAACGAGAATCAATATTAGCTTTACTTAATATGCAATTACCATTATCAAATTCTCAACATACAAAATGTGATATTCAACCAGAGAATTATGTATCAATAAAATTTTCAAAAAAATATAAACCGAAACAGGTTCGTATATCTAAAAAATAAGTTTTTTTCATTCAACGGACAAATTCATCGAATTACTTTTTTTTCATAAAGTTTATTCGATATAATATATTATTGTCCGAAAAGAAAAATATACTTCACGACGATCTTACATATTTAAAGCATTGATTTATGTAAGAACAGAATGAATAGTAAACATTTCGATATGAACTATTGTTATTTTATAGTAGATAATTAAATTAATTGCTCATTAATTTCTCTTATGAATATATAGGAGACAAGAATAACAAAGACGTCTGACAGTGAGATATTAGTAGCAAGGAATTATCTTAATTATAGTAAATCAAAATACTTGTTATCTTTATATGTATGTCTGATACAAAGTAATAATAATTTAGCTAATATTCTCTTTCCATTGATTTGAATAATTAGAATGTCTGATTTCTTTTTAGTTAACTGAACGTATTCTCGAAGCGCATGCTGCTATAAGTAATTTAGATGGTACAGAAGCTAAATTACGATATTTAAAACTTTGGCAATCATTACCTGAATTTGGTATTTCAACATTTATTGTTAAATTTAAAGATTCAAATAAAAAAGAAGTAAAAAAACTATAATTTTTTGTTATTTTCTCATAATATTTATTTAGGAATTACTTGGTATTGCATCAAATCGTCTTTTACGTATGACAATGGCAGGTGATATATTAAAAACATGGTGGATATCTCGAATGTGTTCATGGAATGTTAATTGGGATAAAAAATTAGTTACTATTGAATTTGATGATGAATTAATACAATTTTTACCATTATATGGTACAAATAGTAAATGTATACATGAATTTATTGGTGCATACATTTTTTTGGCTATGAGATCAAATACAACAATGTCTGATAATAATGATCCGCTTAGACAAGAGCTACTTTTTCAACGACTTACTGCTGCTTATTCATAGAATATCTCAGGGATTTTTTTTTTGGTTTTGGTTTTTATTTCAAATATACTCATGTTATTTATCTCATTTAATTTAAAATTGTCAGTATACTTTAGAGATCTTATCTTTTCTTCTTGGGAATGATTTTTTTTAGTCATTTTTTGTTTTTATTTAAATAAATTTTTTAATAGTTCAATATTTAAAAGCTTAATTTAACAGGAACGAAATAATATGAATCAGAATATATCTGTTTTTAGATGTAATTCAATGGAAAATTTTACTCATGTTAGAAATAATCTGTTATTTTCTTTAATAAAATCTAATACATTTAGGGTAACAAACTCGACGTTATTTGTTCAATAGGTATGTTAAATTCATTTATTTTGTATATGAATTATAATTTTGTATTCGATTGATTATTATTCGGTAATTTTTTACGATCTTTCGAAAATTTTTCAAGTCCAACGAGGAAAATACTTGTTGTAACTAAAAATGAACCAATTAAAACGAACCAATTTGATTTAACTTTCGAAAATAGATTTTGTAATACAATTGCAAATAGAATATCTGATGATTGAGCAACAGAAATAATCGATGGATGTTCAAGTTTAATTGCTTTTTGTGTTATTGTTGATGATAAGACTTGTATTAATGAAACAAATGCAGCAAGAAAAAATTGCCATGTAAACATTGTTTGATTATCATATTTATGTAAAATAAAACGATTATATATATGATTAAGAATAAGTAAAGTTAATGTTAAGAGAGAAAATTCTAACATTATTATACTTTGAGGAATTTTTGACATTAATAATTTTTTATTAATTACCATACTACCTGATATTGATAGAGCACATCCAAGTGCAAGACAAAGGCCAAGTAAACGATAAGATTTATCAGATTCATAATCAATAACATCTGTTTTATTCAATATTACTTTACTTTGATTTGATAAGATTTGATGATTATTATGATTAAATAAGAATGTTGGTTGTGCAACTAATGTTACACCTGTTAGTGTAAATATAATAGCTACAAGTGTTGATATTGATATACGTTCATGAAAAATAATCATTGCTAAAATTGCTGTCCAAACTACTTGTGTATAACGACATGTTGTTAGATCTGGTAGAGGTATATAACGATAACTACCAAAAAATAAAATTAAACCACTGGCTGCTAAAATAGCACGAATAATTTGTAGGATAATTAATTTAGTTGAACCATGGATAAATTTTTTTGTTTTACACAATGTAAACGTTAGTAAAATAAATGATTGTACAGTAAATCGACCAAAGAGTGCATCGAAAAAATCAACACGTAATTGTTTGATTATAAAACCTGAACATGTAAAAAGAAATGAAGCAAAAAGTGCATAAAATATTCCAGTACATCGAGTAATTATTTGAGAACATGTTGATTTTGTTTGAATTTCTTTATGTGAATGAAGTGTAGTAAGCGATGTATATTTTCGTTCATAGCTATTAATTATTTCATCATTATCATTTATTGATTTAAATTCATCTGTATCAATTAATGGTTCAATAAGAGGATCATTCGTACAAATATTATTATCATCTATTAAGTCATGTTTCTCAATCGTATATGATTCTGATTTCATTCTTTCTAAATATATGTTATCTTACTTGCTTTTTTTTCTAATAGAACATTATAAACGTCATTTTTCTTTTTATATACGCACCTTATATAAAACAACTGACTTTAACTCCCATAGTCTCTAGTACATCATTTATTTTTATCTTTTAATTAAAAACTTTTTGCACTTTAAGAGCGCAATGTAGCCACGTAGTAACTGCATGTATACTATCATTCTTATTCAGCAGTACTAATAATTATAGAAAATATTATTTGAGTTTTATGAATGATTATTTATTTTCTTTGTATTTTTATTGGTTGATGTGTACGATTTTGTCGATCTAACCAAAGTTTATGACCACCGAGAATAAAAATACTTGTAAGAACAAGTATTGAACCAATTATTGCAAGTCCATTTGATTTCTTTGCTAGAAATATATTTTGTAATATAAGAGAAAAAAGTATTTCGGATGCTTGTACAACTGTTACAATTGATGGATGTTCGCGTTTAATAGATTTTTGTGTTAATACCATTGGTATTAATTGTAATGTTGCAAGAATTGTTGCATAAATAAAATTTTCAGTTAGATAAATTTCTTTTATATTGAATTTTCGTTGATTTGTTTTTGAAAATACCCAATAATATGTTTGAGTTATTATTAACATAAAAGTTGTTGTTAAAATAAAATGAAACATGATTACACTTTGACGAACTTTTTGTTCAAGTAATTTTTTATTTAATACAATACCCATTGATATTGAAAATGCACAAAATATAGCAACAAATACACCTTTTAAACGTTGATTATCATTTTTTAATGATATTTGTAATGTTTCATTAATCGGGTTTGATTTTGTAAAAAGAATTGTTGGTTGAGCTACACAAATGACACCAATAAGTGTTAGTATACTTGCTATAATTATTGGTAATGTAATTCGTTCTCGAAATATAATTAAAACAAGAAGAGCTGTCCAAATAACTTGTGTATATCGTAATGTTGATAGCTCAGGTAATGGAAGTAATTCAAGACCGAGATAAAAACAAACACTACCCACAGCAGCCATGAATGATCGACTAAACATTAATAGATTATTAATATTCGATGGAAATACATGATAATCTTTATAAGTAATATATACATATGAAATTAATCCTTGAATAAGAAATCGAATAAGAAATACATCTAATAGAACAACATCAAGTTGTTTTATAATAAAATTTGAACATGTAAATAATAAAGCAGCTATTAAAGAATATAAAATTCCAGAAAATCTTTTTATATAACAAAAACATTTTGTACAAATATGAAATTTTTGATTGGAATCAATATTTTCTTCATCATTTTCATCGATAATATTGACAGGATGGTAAAAAATCGACGATTTTCGATCAAAATATGTTATATCATCATTTACATCATTGATTGACTGTAATAAAGGATCGAGATTAGCAACTGCAATTTCTGGAGATGATTTAGTTGAAGTTATTGAAATTGTCCGTTGTTGTTTCTCCATTGAAAAATCAAAATAAGTAGAAATCTAATTCTTTTTTTACCTTCTAACAACCGAAAACAGCCAACATTTCAAACATGAAATGATCTGGACCGGATAAAAATTGTTTTGATCCATATCAAATAACATTTAGTAACATTGTAAATATCAGTTAAAATAACAATAAATCAATTAATAGTTAACCCATATTAACCTTTACATATTGTATTACGCAAGCCAATTTCTAGAATTTCCATATTATAATCATTCTATAGTATAACATGTGTTTTAGAAAAAAATGATTATCTATTATTGTATATGCATCAATATTTTTTAAAACTTGAATAATAATCAAAAATATTACTTTATTCTAGATATATACATATATATTTATTATATTTCTTGTCCGGTGATTAATGTCTCTCATTTCAAAGGATGATGAATACTTTTCATAAAAATGGCAGACCAAGTAGACGAACACGCAAATGTATGCCATAAGAGTTGAATTAAATCGATATATTTTAAATATTGTTTATTTTTCTTTATAGCTTTCCAATACTCAAAAAATTGTTTCCTCACTCATTGCTGGCGCCTGTGCAGGTATGTGATCATAATATAGAAGATTTGAATTATGTTATTGATTTTGTATTTTAGGTGCCCTAGCGAAAACAACCATTGCACCATTTGATCGAGCGAAAATTAATTTCCAAGGTAGATTAATTTGATAAATATTTTCTAATCTAATTTCTTTTATTTTATTAGTTAGAGTAGATAAATTTAGTTATCGTCGTTGTTTTAAATTTCTAAAAGAATCATATCGAAATGAAGGTTTTATGAGTTGGTATCGTGGAAATTCAGCCAATTTAGTTCGTGTCATTCCTTCAGCAGCTATTAATTTTACAGCACATGAACAATGGAAACGTATCCTTGGCACTGATAAACACGAGTAAAAATATCTATGAAATAGATAATAATGTATTTTATTTTCTATAGAAAAACTCCTGGTCGACGATTTATTTCTGGTTCTTTGGCAGGTGTTACATCAGCAACGATTACTTATCCACTTGATTTAGCACGTGCGCGTATGGCAGTGACGAATAAAACTGTGTATGTATCTTCCGAATGTAATCAATTCTTAATTATGTTTTATTTTCTTTAGGTATAGTAATTTATTCTCCGTCTTTCTAAGCATCCTAAAAAATGAAGGTGTTACAGCTTTATATCGAGGTGCACTTTTATCGTTAGTCGGTGTATTACCATATTCTGGTTGTGTTTTTTTTACTTATGAATCGCTCAAACATATTCGTATTGGTAATTGAATAAACATAAGAAAAAAGTATATATTTATATGTCTATAATATAGATTATCATTCCCATCGTCCCATTAATAAAGCTGAACGAATGTTATTCGGTGCTACTGCTGGTCTTGTTGGTCAAACAGTTTCATATCCATTTGATGTTATACGACGTAGATTACAAACAGCTGCTGTTATTCGACCAAATGAAGCATCTTTAGGTGCTATTGCAACAGCAAGTAAAATAATTCGTGAAGAAGGAATCACACGTGGTTTATATAAAGGTGTAACAATGAATTGGTTAAAAGGACCAATATCTGTAGGTGTATCATTCGTAACATTTGATACCTTGATAAAATATATTCGTCGCTCGTCTTTATTTTCTTAAAGTTAATCACTTTTGTTATGTATTTTCTTTTATGTTAATCCCTTTTGTGAATTACAAACGTATGACTCCTTTTCCTTTTTTTTTGATATTCACATATGATTCTCTTTTCTTTCGAAAATGATAGTACTGTTTTTTTCCAGATGATTAATGATTTTCTACGTGTTGTTAGTAGGCAATCGTATCAAATTTTAAAAAATTCGATTTGCTATCGATGGCAATCATCTTCATCATACGATTCAAGAGATAATGATTTAATACCACCTACAACATGTTGTATGAGTAATTGTGCTAATTGTAAATGAAATATGTATTATATTTGAAATTTTTCAATAGTTTCATTTTATATAATATAGGTGTATGGTTTACATTTGCTGAAGAAATTGCACAACGTTATCCTAATGCAACAATGGAAGTGATCGATGATGTTTTAAAAAAATATATCGATGATAAAAGTTTTCGGGAATTTTTAGAATTCGAAATTAAAATGCGATCAATTGGAAAAAACTAGCAATCTCAATGTATCTTTTATATTTCTAATAAATAACTATTTACTCGAAATTCAAGATTGAATATTTTGTATAATTTTCGTTTTTTTTATATTCATATTTATACATAATAAGGTTTGTTAGTTTTATCAAAAAGAACAAAAATTAATAATTATATATATCTATATATATATATATGATAGTTAAAAATATTTCAATTGTGAATTTAAGTATTTAAAGATGAAAAGTCATATAGAAGTCTATTTTTTATTTGGATGATTCTGTCGTAGTATTCTGTGATGCTGTACTAGTCGGTGGTGTTGTTAATAATTGAAGATCAGAATAGCGTTGTTTCCAACCACGTAATTCTTGTGATAATGTTTCATTGTCGCCTCGTAATTGGTTAATCTATTTATTGAATATAATAAATAGATGAAATATCGAAATATTCTATAGAATAATTATTACTTGTTTTACTAATTGACTTCGTTCAACAGATAAATTACCCACGAGAGATGTTTGTCGATTACGACTACTTGCTGCATAACCTTTATTTTTAAGAATACGTCGTCGACGTTTAATATGGGCTGCATCATTTGGTTTCATTGATTTTAATAATGTATTTAATTCTTTAACACTCATTGACATTATTTGATGATCATCAATCTTAGAAAATAATAAATTTTCATAATTCTTATTATTCTAATATATACAACATACTTGCAGAGACTCTTCCAACCCATCATTGTCGTTCATATCATGTTTTATAGAAGCCATGATTAAAATTTAATATCTACAATTTTATCATATTTTTCATTATTTAGAACAACTAAACCTTATTGTTACAGGTGATAACAAAAAAAATAGACCAATTACTACTTAAAGGAAAAATATAAATTAGGTCAACTAAATTATTTTATTGTTTGAATTAATGACACATTCTATGATATAGTCTGCCGATGGGAAATCTCACCGTGTGACAATATATGACAATGCGAGTTTTAAAAAGTGTGGAGTAAAGTTTATCTAATTCATTGTGTGAGAAGGCTAAGACTCTTTGAATCAATTAGCTTCATATAAATAAATGATTTATACTAAAACTTGACTCATGTGATATCAAGGATATAAAACGAACAATATGAATATGTGTAGTTAACATTTTACTATTATTATGTATCTATTGAGTAATAAAAACGACTCATCTTTGTTATAAATAGATATTCCTATGAAACTTGCCTAATCAGTAAAATATAACTTGTCATGCTGATGATGCATTTTTTGTTGGATATAGTTGAGTCTATGGAAAACATAACAAAATAAAAGGGATCTTTTGTAACATGATAACATTTGCAAGAGATAAAAATTGAGTCATTTAATAATCTGTTTACCTGGAAAAATTTATATAAACTTTATTTTTATTCATTCATTTCATTTATCTATGAATCTGAGTCATCCATGAGAAAAAGGATTACTTGCACAATACACCAATCATAAAATACACACGTGAAAAAAAAAGATGTCAGCGATATATATTCGTGCAGTTTCAGATTGTTATTACTATAAATAATTATATAAATTAGTATATAAACGGCAAAATCATGAATTTAGAGAATTTATATTTTAATTTTAACGGCGTGAAGTAAAAGAAGATTTACATTCGGATGGCAAACTTTATCGTAATAGTAATATAGTTTAGGAAGAAAATTTGATGCTACTGTTGATAAAAGTTAGATAATAATTTCGAATAATTTTCTCCATCAAATAATTCATATCAATCAAGTTATTTAATCACCAGTGAGTTCGAGATATTATACTGGATTATTTCGATGTTTTATAAAGCAGAGTATCATTTGCATTTAACTTTACTAGTTTATTAATTAAAACAATTTCATCAATCTAGACAAATGGAACGAGGTTTTTTCCATACGTGAAAGATTTATAGTGTCGAATTAATCTATAGTATTAGTATGCACTACAATTGTGCTAATCCATCTTTTTTCACTTCAGAGCTGATCCTTCTCATATAACACTGGTGGAGAGAGTACTCGAGCAATATTAAAAGGATGGGCATCAATACTCTTAGAATATATCCCTCAAGATACTTTTAAATATGGTCTTTATAAAGTATTTAAAGATTTTTTGACTGGAGAAAAATATGCTCAAAAATATAAAGGAAATGGTTAAAGTTCAAACAAGTATTCCTGGAATATTTTTCATCTAAATATCAGCAGTTATTATTGAAATGAATAGAAATAGCAACATAACAAGATCTTATGAATTTAATTGTATTTTTATGGTCAAGATAATTTCAATATACCATTGTAAAATTTTATTCTTTTGAAAAGGTATTTACAATTTCAATTCTTTTCCCTTTTACAAACATTTTTATCAAACAGAAAAAGTAAATTAAAATATAAATCATTTCTATATGCATATCTTTACAGCAGATAAAACTACTCAGCTTGGTATAACATTTGTATTAGATTATATCGCTGACTGCAAAGAAATTTGAAATTATTAATCTTTGTACAAAAAGTTTTGTTACTCGAATTTTAATGAAGAATTTATGATGCATTTAAAACTGATATATGAGCGGGTACAACTGAAAGAAAACAGACAATCAATTTCAAATAGAACAAAAGATAATTTTCGATCGAAGAGCAAATAACTTTTCTCAAACGATTTCTCTATCAAATGGATTTAGTTATATTCTTTTGTCAGATGAATTGGATTTTCTCAAATATATATAAGATATAGTAAGATTTTAAACATGAACCTGACATGTTTCTCTTTATTGAAAACAAACATCATAAGTATCATCAAATTAAATTTTATATATGAGTTTTATTTTAACAGTTTTCGATATTAAAAAATGATGAAATTCATAGTGAAAGAATCTTTTTGCCTAAGTCTTAAGATGAACGACACGTAATGTCTTAGTATATATGTATATAAATCAACATTTGTACGTTATGTATTCATTTTTAGTCGAGAATAACTAAAGATTATAATAGGCTTCGGTTAAATAAATAAAACATATTCGTTTCAAGCAACGATTAAGAGTCGCATGTCATAGTAATGTAAGTAAAAATATATAATAGTGAAAATACACTTGTTGTTTCATGTTAGTATGCCAGATGGTGGATGGTTTTAGCTTTTAAAACATAATAATTTGATGAAAAATGAATTATCAGTTATTCTAGACGCTAAATGTGAACAAAATGGATTTTATAATATATCTGTAATGTTCTTTTTTTCTTCTAACGAACACGTTAGATTCAATAGAAAAAAGAGTGAGCCAAGATTTTATCTACAAGAATATTACCAGAAGATCTAGATTTTTTTACGGCAAGGTCGTCCGCTAATGTGTCTGTGTGTGTGTGTGTGGAGTGGTAGCAATACCCAAACCTATGTCCACACTCTTAATATTATGATTGTTAATATTGTGTTGCATTGATATTAAAATGTATAATATTGTTCAGTATTAGTATCATATGTGAGAATATGCTTCTAGATTAATATCATTTTATAATAACATTTACAAAAATTCTCACAGATCGCTTAAAAAGAAATCTGAAAGGCTTCGCGCATTATCCGATTATTTATTATTAAAAAATTATTTATTATTGTCTTCTGCCTTTGTTTCTCTTCCTTTCCTCTACAACTATTCAACCAGTATTTGTATAAACGTTTGTTTAATTTTTTCTTAGAGTAAAAAAGAATTGAAAAAGAAGTTCTGTTTTGTTTCTTTCACATAAAATCTCAATAATTCTCATGATCACTTTGTTAACTTGAATTTATTTAAAAATAATAAATAGTTGTGAAAGAAACCGATTGCTTTCATGTCTTCTATTTTTCACAGTTTCGACTAACCATCGCGAACAACGATTACCAACCAAACGAGCATTATTTTTGTGTGTCTATACGCATGGTTTTATGTTGCTTGTCTACCTGAATGAAGCACTGTACAAAAGAAGAAATAGAAGAAGAAAAAGAAAATTTTGCGTCGACTCTACCAAAGAGATAAAAAGAAAAAAAATAGGATGCAATAATCGACTAAACTATCGTTAACTATACATTCGTATTTCTATATTAATACAAGCAAATCAACTCAACCATTACTTTTTCATTTTTACATTTTAGCCACAATAATTTTATCGTATCGAATAGCATGTATAAAGCTAACTAACAAATTCGTTTATTTGTACCCTGAGAAAAAAGTTGCTGATCCTATTCGAAGCAGATAACAAGAGTAGATTAAATGAATTCAGCAGCAGAGATATCATTTACTCCAAAATTAACACCGACGATAACTGAATTCGCAAATCTCCTCAACTACATATACGACAACGAAGCGTTGATTGTTCCGTATGGTGGATGCAAAATTATTCCGCCTCGAGAATGGGCAAAAGTGAAAACGCT